CAGAAATTCATTTTTTTAATCGAAGTCTTCCTAGGCGTTGCCATCGTGACTGCTTAAGGTCCCTAATGACTAACAACAACAGGGTTGGCTCCAACGTAGATTTATTCTGCAAGCTCTACTACAATTTTGACCAGAACGGACCTGGCCAGGGCTGGTTCGACCCTCCTCTTCTCTCCTTCTCTTTTTTTTTTTAATTTTTTTTTTTAAACTTTACAAAACAGTTCTATTTAAACCTAACGTACATGGATAAGGTAATGCCACGAATAATCTAAAGAGTCATGTAATCTACTACACTATTGGCTAAGCGGAAATTTCGCCTTTTACAACATTAATTACTTTCAAAGAGTTCCGGTGAGTGACAACTACGCAAAAGGATATGACAGGTGGCTGTTACAGTTTAACACTAATGACAACTGTTTACGGGTGACTGAAGGAGAACTGGTAGCGTTTACACTTTGCTGAACTAAGCTTTCTATGTTGAATATTATATTTTTTTAAGCGCAAGCATGAAAGAACTCGATAACTAAAAAATCCTATCGTTAAAGTTATCCGACAAATAATTGATCACAAAAGGTTTACTCTTAAGGTCAAATATGGCCATTTACGTCTTCAGTTAGAGTTGAAACAAACATAGACTGGGATTTTCTAACCTTCACTACAGTTTTAAATTAAGCTTTTCATTTGAACAAAGTGCTATTTACAACCCATGTATTCCTCTCCTATGTATCTTCTTGATCATAGTTTACATCTATTTCTAAAGGTTATTCTGTGACTTTATAAGAATCGAACAGCAGAGAAGACCCATTTAAGGTACTTAAGGGAGGAAAAAGATTGCAATGAATCCAATTTTAAAAGTTGTTTTTATTAATCTTTACGACTGCAAAGAAAAAATTTTTTTTCAACCTGCTGAAAAATTTCGTTTCAGTTCTTCCGTGGCGAGAGTCAAGGTGATTGTCCGCATTCTATTGGACACCATTACCTTGCAAAATGCTCAGGCAGAATCTGGGTCCAGCTTCGAAGGTAAAATGTTTAGCCGCAAAGATATATTTAACATCCAGTATTCGTGTGCAAGTTAATTCCCTTCCTTTAACTGATACGTTTAAAAATTTAAAAAAAGACGGTTGGAAGATGATTTTCAGCCTCGAGGACTTCGAGCCCATGCTTTGAATTAAAAAAAGTTTCTGAAAATTTTTTTTCCAGAGGGGAACATCTTTGGAAGCGTCGAAGCCAATTCCCAAATAGCGGATGAAAATGAAGAAGACTCACCAGAAGCTCTGGGTGCGTAAGTAAGGCTATGATCAACCTGGTTATTGTTTCTACTCTATCTTGCTTTTTTTTCTCAATAGACGTATTTGTGATCAATAATTTTTAAGAGCATCAAATTATTGTGCTTGAGTGATGGAAGGCCAAAGCGTTTCTCATAAAAAGTTAGTCTGCTAAATCCTTAAAAAACAGGTCGATGAGTAATTTTGAGATCAAAAGACCTATTCAAAACTTTGCAAGAAAGATTGACCGGAGAAAGAAATTATATTTCTTGCGAAAAGGTCCGTTTTATGGCAGATTTATTTCAGGAAAATGTGATTTAAATGACAATGAAACAAATTGCTAATAAATAAGAAAATCGAGCAATTGTAAATTGACTGATATGCCACAACAAATTATTTTATTTAACGTAAAAGCAGTTGAAGACCTTTAAAAGTGTGTAATTTCTCATCAATTGATTGCAGTAGTGGGTTTCAGGATGTTAAAAAACTCATACATCAGCAATTCTCTTTTTCTCTACAGAAAATGATATAAGCAGATCGATCATAAGAAACATAATTTCTTTCGAGATGATGCTATATCGAGTCACTGGTATAAATCCAGTTGTGTTCAGCAACTATGGCTGTTCTTATGGAGGAAAAGGAAAAGGAAAACCTGTTGATCGAATTGATGGGTAAAGACCTGTTCAGGTGATGTTAGTGAGAGGATAAAAGTATAAAAGAGGTAAGTTTTTAAAGAAATTGTGGTGTTGCGCTAATGGGGGAGTATAACAAGGTAATTTAGTATTATCAACTGAGATGGGAATGTAAATTGGCACCGTTAAGAGTTTAAGAGGTGACGTTTCGAGCGATGGCTCTTCGTCAGAGCGAAACTTCTAAATAATAAATGAATAATCTTGATGATAAAAGGATCCACAAATAGACGATCAGTTGAACGGCTCTACGTTAAGAAAGATCTTATGTTAACCGAAAGATTGTCTCGTGGCATTGGCTTCCAGGTGTTGCAAGCGACGAAACGATTGCTACTGTAGACTCCAAAAGGCCCAGTACCGCCCTTTCAAAAAGGAAGTATTTCCTATGCCGTATGTAACACGTATTCCCCCAGATGGGACTTAAAATCATTTAGATGTGGTAAGTTTAAAATTTATCAGTGCTTCTTTTAGTATTATCACTTTAAGAGGTTATAAAAATTGTAAATTTTAAATACATGTTTGAATAAGAAAAAGAACGAACGACCAAACTTACGAATGAAGATATGAATAAATACATGTAGATGATTAATTCAATAGCGAGTAAATAAAGGTGCAATTAACAAATAATGATGACTAGTTGTCGTTTCAGGTTTTTTTCTTTGGAGTTTTCAATGCTTTTATGCTTCAGTTATACAATATTCCTGCCTGAGGAATTGATTTCTGAGCTTAACAGTTGTTAGATTCCATTAGACCCTCATTTATGAAAAGCATGATTTTAATCTGTCTTTGCCATCTACTTCCAGTCAAAAAATATCCCTTGAGATCTTATCGCAGATGTCGCCTTAAACTTTGTCTGTGTGACACAACGGTCACGAATTGTATTTAAAGGCTCAAGAGGAGAGGCTCCTCTAGAGAAATATATTTGAATTACGACTAATAAAATATTTGATAGAAGAAAAAATATAAATTTCCTATAATTTTCTCTTGCTGTTAATTCTAGAGAACTATGTGTTCATGTAATCTTGGAGGAATTTAATGTTATGTTAAGTAATTTAAGTTGTATACAATCCTTCTATTTTCTTCTGCCTGTCACTGTTTTTACGGGATTAAGTACCGCCCCATCCTTAAGTTATTGAAAGTCATGAAAAGATACATCGTAGAACAAGCCAGTGCAAACAGCGAGTCCAATTTCCCCATAAAAAGTGGAACACTATAGAACCCTATTACTATATACTATTCTAGCCATGTTGACTAATTTGTCATATGAACCAAAATGTTTACCTGCCTGCTGGTGCAATTTAGTGGAAGTCATGTTTTTATTCAAAACTGATAGTGGTTCATAATCAGAGCAGTATGCGAATAAAAACTTTATATTTTGCGTTATATTGTCTAACCGAAAGCAAATTTGAAGCACCTGTACGGGTACGACTCGGACGGGTCATTCTATTAAACTATCGTACTTTTCTGTACTTAGATATTCGTGTTGTGTGAGGAAGTATTATCTTTTGTCTCACGGTAATCATATATTATATATATGGGTATTTTTGCTGGTAGTGATACAATACAAAATAGAGCAATCTGTATACGTGGTTAGATGTTTCCATAACTCCCTTTGTGTATTCGTCTTACGCAGAGTTTGGTATCCACGTCAAAACATTTGCATTAATTACATTAATTTGATCAGTATATGGCATCCTCTTTGATTGCATTAATTGTTTTATGACCTCAGCAAAAGTTATGATTCGATACTGACCGAGGCATTTTATTGGTAGTCTCTCAGGACCTTATTCTCACTATTTCTGAAATTTCAACTCAACGCTGAAACCGTTCTTGAGATTTTTGAAGACGTGTATGTTTCCTCTTCAAGGAGGAGATGAATTCACACGCTTTACTTCAACACGCGGTTGATAGCCAGCCGGAGATCCATGCACTTTGAACGCTTCATCGGAGAGTTTCACGTTCACATCTACTGATAAGTTGACCTCAACCTCGATATCACCACTTTCAAGTTCATAGAATTCCTCCTTGTTGATGTCACCAGATGTTTTCGGCGTCTTCCCGACGTGAAGGGTAGCTGATGCTTAAAAAGAGGGTTGTTGGATTGTCTTCGACCATGATTCGACACTGTTTGGTCACTTTGGTGATTAAACCATCTCTAGGGAGTTCTGCTGTGGGCTGAAAGATAACATAGCCTTATAGTGGTCTCGTGGCTGCGTTAGTTTTGGGAGACATTCCAAATTTTTCCACGTGTGCTTTCTCGTCCTGCTGAAGAACCATATACAGCTTAAAATTTCCTTCCCTGTCCTGACGATTCCAGAGAGCGCTGGCAGTGCTTGTGTAAGAGTCTATTTTCACCAACACAGCGTCCTCGTACTTGGCATTCGTGGAATTGTGCTCTAGCCAGGCTGTTGCATAAATACCGCTGGAGCAGACAGCAGCTACAGTTTGCGAATTTTGAATCTGGACATGTAACTTAAGATCAGATGCACTTGATTCTGGAACTGTTGCCTTTGGTGTCGACTAAAGTAGTATACCCATCTTTCGTGTTTTTAGAAAGGGGGTTTACAGCTTCGAATAGATCTGAGCTGTCTTTGGTCATGCCGTCCATTTTAATGGAAAATTTAGATGCATCTCTAGCTAGTTTGTCTTGAAACAGTGTCGTTCGCGCCTTGGTTGCTGTTCCGCCATTATCTATTTTAATGTTGCTTCCAAGACAGACTAAAACGTTTTTGAAAAAGAAGACAGACTTCTTAAAGTGAAGTTTAACTTTTGGATACGGATGATCCTCGTAAAAGAATTGATATTCTGTTTGGTGGAAGTCCATGCCGAAAACTCCGCTGGATAACGGCTCTGGTCCTTTATAGGAAGCCCCACCGGCATAGGAAGGTGGCCTAATCTGCCATAAAGTCTAAGTCATCGTCGTCGCTCCAGGAACTTTTGTCCAGTCCCATCCGTTTTCTATATCGTGAGCTTTTAGCGCCTCTTCACTATTCGCTATCAACATTGAACCATGGCTTTGATAGGTACCAAAGGCATTTTCTGGTGTTTTCTTCTTTGTGGAGCCCTCAAAGTCCCAGACACAAACCTATCGAAACCTTTCACTGTGACAGCCCAGTCCTTACGACGATGTATTGAGAGAGCAGCAAAGTTCTTGGACCAGTGACCTTCAGGAGAGGGTTCATAGGTTGAGGCTTTCGACTTGAGTTGTAATGGAGGATGAATTATATCGAAAGTATTATTAGAGATTTCTTTGGAATTCTATTTGAAAGTTCTTCTGAATAAGAAACACACTTCATGTTGTCGATAAAAATTGTTTTTCAGTCTAACCAGTGTTGAATTTTGCAACAATACTCATGTGACAGACACAAAAATGAATGATATAGAGAATAATACATGGGCGCTCGTATATATGGAATTTCTCTTGATATCATACGAGTGAGATGTCGAGTTGAACACGAGAGAAGAAATTTCAGATCTACAAGCAATCATCTATTTTTTCCAGGGCTGGAAATCCTTGTATGACAACGTAGCTTATATGATAAATTCTTTTTACAACCCTATTGCTTCAGGTGCCTGTATCGAAAACTCATTCTTTATACGTAGGTCATTTAAATTAGTAAGTTTACCGCACTCATTATCTTCAGGCATCCAAGACTGTTCATGTACGATTTACCCCTCTTAACCCGTCCATCTTCTAGGTACTTTTTCACGTTTTTGTCCATTGCTTCATACAAACGCAGAAACATGCCTTCTTCTCTGGTGTTTGGAATACTTATTCCTTACGGTGGAGTCAATGCCAGTGACTGGGGTGAATAGGAGACACTGATGCATACATACGCTAGAAGGATACTTATCAGAGCCTCCTTTGAAAAGTCTGGAAAAGACTTAAGGGCATTCCAACGTTTCTTCATCTCTCCCATGAAATCATAAGTGGTTTGTGTCTCATCAGCAGATCAGTTATGTAAGCGACTTTCAATGTGAGCAAGGTGAGAAGTCTTTGAAGAATCGACAGAGGTCGGAAGAGCAGATGGTGTCTGCTGACTCCAGCGATAAGTCTACTGCCAAAAGTTACTGGAATCGTACTTTGAACCAAATTTCGTGATAGTTGGAACAATCTTATCGCGAGATTGTTTGGACATTTTTGCCACAAAGCCAAGTAAATCTATGTAAATGGTATCTTCATGTTTTAGAACGAAGTCCATCCCTGTGATTTTTGCAGAACCTTTGAGGCTCTTTTCCTTTTCTTTGCATTCATCGAATGACATCCATATTCCTCTCCAGCCTGAGAATCCCAGATTGATTTCAAAAGATCCTACCCGCGTAACCTTTTTCTTCTTTTTTTTCTTCCACTAGAAGGAGTATCCTTGTAGATCCACATTTTAACACCTCCTCCTCTGAGTTTCTTGCCCTTGATGTGAGCCGATTTTGGAAGCTTGTACCTTAACGTAGATTCTCCATCAGCACTCGTTTCCCATTTTAGTGATGTTGTCCCGTGTTTGGCCACTGATGTCGAGAAAGAAATATTGCCTTTTTATTCGGCGGCGTAACGAGGCAACTTTGCTGGGCTAAGTCTTCGAAATCTAGCATGTCGCCACAATTGTCTCCTGATAGTAGCGTAACAAATGTGGATCATTTTTTGGAAATAAAACATTGTACAAGGTTAAAAAAGTTTAGGAAGAATATCACCTAATTTTCTTCTTGACAATAGATTTAGATTTACACATGCCTGATGAGATTGATGGGACTTTCTATTTGTTTTAGTGTTTTAATTGGTCGAAATACGTGTTCGCTTTAGGAATTTCTATTTGTTATAGTGTTTTAATCAATAGCAACAAATGTTCACTTTAGAGAGTTTCCTTAACAAAGACTGAAAGACCCATGATTCTACGCCATTTACTTGTGCGAAGATAATGAACGTGTCAATTGCAATCCATACCCGAACAAATCACATTCTTTGGCTTAAGTATGTTACAATAGACATTGTTGTATACCTAGACTTTCACTCCACAAAACGAGCACTCTGATTGGTTGATTCTTTTTCACGTGCCTCTGATTAAATTCAAATGTATCCCGACCGGGATACAATCGCGCAGTTGTTGCCCGCACGCCGAATACAACAGCATTTTATTGCCATATAATTGTTTACGGGAAGTTCTAAATATATAACAAAGCACTTAATGTATAGTTCCTCGGAAAACTAGTTAGTTCTGTTTTCCCTCGAGTCCTGATGTTTCCCTTGACTTCGTTTCGTGAAACATCAGGACTCTCGATCGGGAAAACAAAACTGACTGTTTCAGTTGTTTTACCTTAAGTGTATATTGTTTACTTGTAGCCTCGTTTCGTTGTCAACTTAGGCGAGCCTACTAGGTGGCGGATACAAAACAAGACTTGGTTTCTTGGGCCGTGTGATTTCTTCGTAACTAAACGAAATAACATATATACCAGCCGCCTGATCTATTAACAACAATGCCAGACCAGGTAGGATGAGAAATGAACATCCTGTAGATCTTCTCCTCACGGGCATTATCCCTGAAAGAGAAATTCATAAGAGAGACTCACCAATCAATTTAACTGGCTATCAACCGAGATAATAACAGTAATTCAGAGAACAAATAAACATCAAGGTTTATCATTTCATATAATGCGTAACAACTCTAAATAAGCAAAATGGCCATGGTGGCCGGCCGGCCTCTAGATGTTGTATGAAAGTATCATTAACTAAGTTGATAACGTAAACTTAGAGTTTCTAAAAGTACGTTTTAAGCGTTAGCCTTTCGTCAGAGCGAATGGCAAAGGGCTAAGGTTCCGACGGGCTCTGCCGAAGGACTAACGCACGTAACGTCAGCTTAGAAACTCTTGACGGTGGCCAATTTACATTATCAACTCAGTTCATAATACTAAATAATCTCTAGTTGTTGTAGTTTTGTAGTAATTACAATAAGGGGATTTCATTGAGTCAACTAACTCAATTTCAATATTTTTCTATTTGTTTCATACATGTACATAAGTTGTAACTGGCATCTGCCAACGGAAGTCTACGCTTTATTCTCCTCTTCGATATTCGGTGTATGTCTAATTACTGATGAAATGAAACAATTATGATAGCTGTGATAAATATCTCGGCTAGATGTAATGCTTAATCCCGTTTATAAGTTGAAGCAAGTAGGTCTTGCCAATAATCCTAATTTACTGGAGAATTGCCGTGACTTTCTATTAAAAAAAGGAGAGAGACCAATGTTGATTTAAAAAAATCCACATGGAGAGTATCAAGCGTTTAAGTTTTATGGAATTCATATCAAATCCAAACAAATATTGTTAGCGTCGTCTTCATTAAACCACATATTATATTCTCGCTCTGCAAGTCAACTTTTTGGTACATTTTATTGAAAAAGGCGTTATAATATTCACTATGACTGATCAGCTCACCTCAGAAGAACTAATAACAAGAACTCATTTGTTACATAAGGTAACCTAGGGACGTGTTACCGTCAAACAAGAGAACAGGAGTGTACCAAATAATTAAAAGGTGACCTTTTTGAACACGTTAGTATACCAACTTCAACACCAAGTCCAAGAAGAAATGCTTTGACCAATTCTCTTTCACTATAAGATATTCTCGGTCGCTCATTGCATTTCTATGGAACACGCACATCATCTGCAGATGCATGGGGGACCTCCCTCAATGTACATTGTTTGCTTTATTTTACCAGACTTTGGAGTAAGTTATCTTTTTTGGATTATTTTGGATTAAAAGAGATCTCAATCAACTTGAATAAGCGTAGTTTTATTGCAAGAAACATTGATTTAAGCTGGATTGTTTCGAACGTTTTCAGTCTCCAGTTTGTTATGCGGCTGAAAATGTCAAAATTGGTTTCTGTGGAGCTAGTTATTGACCATTGCTGTTTGCTAAAAGAATTTTAGGAATAATTTTTCTCATTTATTTACTTTTACACAAGGCAGTCACCTGCTCAACTTTCATTGAAGCTTAGACATCAAGAATATCCTAATATAAGGTGTGCCATTTCATGGACACGGAAGTGTAAATAGAATAAATATGTTACCTTACTTTGAATTCTAGGAAATCTTTGATGTTATCCTCGCCTCTGAAAATATTTTACACCAACTCCAAACTCTTTGTGCTTGCGGATCACTTTGTGAGCGCTTGGCGGTCTTTATTGGCACCTTTTCTCAAGGGGGAACTTCCATTGGTAGAGGTGGGATTTTTCCTGTCAAATTTTGAGAGATCACCGGCGGAAACATTGTCATTACTCATTGACTTTTCTCGTATGTCTTCTCAGTTTGTGTTACGTTGTGGCTACCATTTGCCATTTGTTAGAAAAGACATGTACTTGATGGATGTGAAATTATTTTTTCTTCGTGGAATTAAGGGATCTATTCCATCAAGCATATTGAGTTTTTTTTTTAATAAATAGCAAAATTACTATTTTTAAATTATTATTATTTAAGCAAAGTAATAATAATGACGAAAAAAAAGTAGAGACCGTCATTTCACACAGGGATTCATTGAATTGATCCCATCACTCATTTGTCATTATAAAAATATAGCTTAGAACAAAATGGGTGCCTATGTTACTAAAGAAAAAAACAATTATCGGTGCGTTGGAAAAATAAATTTGCTTCAAGAGCAGTTATGCATCCTCATTAAACTGAATGGTTTTCTTCCTCATAACATTTCACATATTTCGGCTGAGGCATTTTGTCTTATAAAGCATCTAGATTTTATTTGAAAATTTTTCCATTTCCTACTGTTGTTCTATCGTTCTTCTCGACTTCAAAATGTGGATGACTAAGGCAATCGTCGTATCTGACTTGGAGGAATTTTTTTGTTATCAAACCAATTCGATTATATAAAAACTGGTGTACAGTAAAATTGACCCACGTACCTTTGCTTAAAGTATTGAATTTTCCGTGAGGCATTGTTTCAGTTCTCTGTAGGGGTAGAAATATAATTCAAATTAAGAGGATGTAAAAATTTCAAAAGCTGATTTGCGTATGAAAATTGTTTATAAAGAGATTAGGTGATGACCAACTTACCGAACTTAACCAAGATAGCCGATTGATTATTCAGTTAAAAAATGAACATCCTACCTTTGTTGGTATAAGGAAACCTTTTAGTAATGTATCCTTTTTCGTATCCAAAGATAAGAGGTTCTATTTAAATAAAACTATTTGAAAATGTTTTTGCAATCCAGTCATGGAAATCGTGACGTTCTCTGATTAGCTGAGTACCAACTTATAACGAAATCTGTTTTCATTGACAGTTCAAGCAGTTCAAGATCACACAAAATTTATTGTCCATGTCTGTTTGTAAAATGGCAATGGGGAAATAATAAACGAGAATTTGGTTTGATATGGAGGAAATTTTTATTTTCCGAAAAAACGGACAAATCTCACTAATTTCTTGTGCAAAAGTTGAAATGAGGCTAGCTTGAATTTTTTAAATAAATTCAACGAACTTTTATTTTAAAGATTGACTTTGGAATGGTTTATTGACGGAAAATCCACCAGAGTCGTTTGCGTTTTCTTTGTTTTGACTTTCCTATACCGCTTTTTGCGTCTCCATCACCGGAATTGTTCAAGCATTTCTAAAATAACTTTTTAAGTCCGCTCCACGCATTACTTTTTTTTGCAGGGGTCCATTCTATATCTACACAATATCATGCAAACAAGTGATGGGAATAAAGAAAAATTATAGAATTACTAATTGATCCGATACCAAATTCTCCAAACTAACCTAATGAGAATGATTTTGCCGACAGTTAGGAGAATTACTAATGAGATCTTGGGAGTTAAAGGGTTAAGATGATGACTGAATACTCGTAAGATTTTGGCGGAATGTTTTATTCCAAATATAGGAAATTACCGAGGGAGAGATTGATGGTCTCCTTAACGTTGACAAAAGTGCATACGTAATCCCATATATTTGTAGATAAGTTGGTTTTATTCACTGATAATGTGAATTGGCTATCTTTCAGAGATTCTTGGGTCTCATTATGGTGGCCAGTTTACTCTAACAATTATGTGTAAAACGCTTCACCACCTCGGAAAAAGAGAATATCGCCCCATACAACTGGTGAGCAAAGAGTTAACTCAAGCGAGCAATATTTGAACATAGGAGGCCTCTAGGTGTCGCCCTGTTTGACGAACGACTAATTTGAACATCTTTTAACTTACCTGTACAGGAGCACGTCGGAAGGCCAAGGTACCATCCATGTACGACCGCAAAAAGTATTATTGGAGATAATTCGCGTAAGAGTCAACATAACGACCTGTTTCGTTCGAAATAAATTTATCTTATTGTTAGCACATCGGTTACTTTTTTTCGCCTGGCTGACTCTAACGAGCTTGCACTCTCCTATCTGGCCTGAGAAAAGATTGCTTTTCTGATTGAAAAATTTGTTGTTCTATCACTGACTATACCATATTTGAATGTGTCATCACCGTTAGACATCTTGGTAGAGGACAATCAAATATTGGAGGTAGGTAACGAATGTGACTTATTAGGGACAAATCATAAAAATTACATTTTGGTTTAAAGTTCATTGTTATTGAAGTTAAAATTGAACCATAAGTTGACAGTGGTAGACTGCGTGTTGTCAAAATTTAAAATGAGAAAAAAAAGCGTTTAAATAAAATGAAAAACTATCAATCTAGTACAATGAGCTCAATATCTCGTACGCTCCTTTATGCTATTTGATTAAACTATTTGCCATTTGCTTTCTTTCAAGGACGTTTTTTCCTCTCGCAATAATTCATTCTTCTCACTGAGGTCACCTAAAGCAGGTTAGAGCACTTTGACTCTAAGATTCGCGAATATTTTTTCAAAATCGGGATCATCACTTTCTTAGGCGATACGTTAATTTCATGGAAATAGGATCGTAGAGGTAGAGGTGCGACTTAGAAGTTGTTCGCAACATAATGGAGCTTTATGACTTGAGACAGCTTAATCCAGTTTATCCAGTTGGTAGGGAGCATATAAATGTGCAATAATTTCCCCAAATAATAAAAATTGTACCGTTTATTGTTATTTGAAAACAAAGTAAGTGA